TCTGCTTTGCGGAGGGACCACTCTCTCCGTGACTCCCTTGTCTGCTCCACACTCCCCTCCAGCCCCACCACACCCGGCACTTTTCCCTGCAACCGCAGGAAGTGCTACACCTGCCCCTACACCTCACCCCCATCCCAGGCCCCAAGAAGACTTTCCACATCAAGCAGATGTTCACCTGCACATCTGCTAATGTGGTATACTGCATCTGCTGTCCCAGATGTGGCCTCCTCTACATCAGGGAAACCAAGCGGAGGCTTGGGGACCACTTTGCAGAACACCTACGCTCGGTTTGCACTAAACAACTGCACCTCCCAGTTGCGAACCATTTCAACTCCCCCTCCCATTCCTCAGACGACATGTCCATCCTGGGCCTCCTGCAGTGCCACAACGATGCCACCAGAAGGTTGCAGGAACAGCATCTTATATTTTGCTTGGGAACCCTGCAGCCCAATGGTATCAATGTGGACTTCACAAGCTTCAAAATCTCCCCACCCCCTACCGCATCCCAAAACCAGCCGAGCTCGTCCCTGCCTCCCTAACCTGTCCTTCCTCCCACCTATCCCCTCCTCCCACCTCAAGACCCACTCCCATCTCCTACCTACTAACCTCATCCTGCCCCCTTGACCTGTCTGTCCTCCCTGGACTGACCTATCCCCTCCCTAACTCCCACCTACACTCACCTTTACTGGCTCCATCCCCTCCTCTTTGACCGGTCTGTCTTCTCTCCACCTATCTTCTCCTCTATCCATCTTCTATCCGCCTCCCCCTCTCTCCCTATTTATTTCAAAATCCCCTTCCCCTCCCCCATTTCTGAAGAAGGATCTCGACCCGAAACGTCAGCTTTCCTGCTCCTCTGATGCCGCTTGGCCTGCTGTGTTCATCCAGCTCCACACCTTGTTATCTCAGATTCTCCAGCATCTGCAGTTCCTACTATCTCTGAAACAATCATCATCTAAGGTGTTGGCCCACTGCAGTCCGAAGCAAGAGGTGCTGCTGACATGTGATGCCTCCCCATCCGGCATCGGGATAGTGTTAGCTGACCGCTGGCCCAACAGAGAGGAACGCCGATAGTATATGTTTCCTGGACTTTGACTGATGCCAAATGCAAATATGCTCAGATGGAGAAGGAAGGTTTCACGGTCATCTTTGGTGTGAGAAAATTCCAACAGTACCTTTATGGATGGGAATTTGTCATAGTAACAGATCACAAACCCCTGCAAGGGCTACTGAAGGAAGACAAGGCAGTGCTGCCTGTAGCTTTGGTAAAATTTAGCATTGGGCCCTTATTCTCAGTGTGTACAGGTACAAGTTAGAAAACCATCAAGGAAGCCAAGTGGCTAATGCAGATGCCTTAAGCTGCTTCCCACTGGCAGATACTCCACTGGTGATGCCTCCCCTGAAAGAGTCTGGTTTGGTTTTAAACTTTCTGGACGCCCCTCTGGTCACCGCTGACAATATCCGACTGTGGACACGATAAGATCCTGTCCTAGTGAAACTAAAACAACTGGTGGTTATGGGAGAGACAAAAGGGCCATCGCAACTGGGACTGAAACCTTTCTGCACCTGGCAAGACCAGATCATTGTGAAGGATGGCATGTTACTGTGGGGGAAAGCAAGTGTGATGGCTCTGAGTAAAGGTCACTGCCAGATGCTGGCCAAACTGCACCAGGGTCTTCCAAGATGAAATTGCTCACAAGAAGCTATGTTTGGTAGCCAGGGTTGGAAGCTGACATAGTTGCATTGGTGGGGCAGTGCCTGGAGTGCCAGCAAGGACAAATATTGCCACCAGCAGTAACCCCTCCCCCACTTTCATGAGAATTACCAGGTAAACCCTAGACCCAGGTGCACGTTGACTAGGTCAGTCCATTCATGGGCTCAACTTTCCTGGTCATTGTGGATGCTCATTCAAGGTGGTTGGACGTGCATAACATTCGTTCAGCAAACTCAGGGATGGCGATTGAGAAGCTGCGAGCATCGTTTGCGATACACAAACTCCCGGATACATGAACAATTGGACGTCATTTACCATCAGGGAAATTGAATATTTTCTAACGCCCAATGGCATTCGGCACATAAGGATAGCTCCACAACATCCATTGTCCAATGGTCTAGTGGAATGAGTGGTCCAAATGTTGAAGGAAGGCTTAAAGAAGACGTCTACAGCTTCACTTGATACCAAGCTGTTCGATAATAGGACCACCCCACACGCAACAACAGGGTTAGCTCCGGAAGAGTTGCTGATTGGGAGAAGACTCCGCACCCTGGGGTGGAGGTGAAACGGCAGCAGGAATGGCAATGCTGGCTACATACCTCCTCTAAAAGAGAGAGACAATTTAATTCAGGGGATGAACTTTAGTGCTTCAACCATGGAAATGGCCCTGTATGGGTGCAAGGTGAGGTTGACACGAGGTCAGGTCCCGCAACTTACAAAGTTCAGGTAGGTGATACAGTCCTGAACAAACACATGGATCACCTGAAAACTGTTACCTCGCAAACAGGGGCAGGAGCAACACATACCTGGCACCTCAGAACAGCCAGAAGACCCGTCAAAAACTGTAGGTGCTCCCCCTCCATCTAGTGTCGAGGACACCTTAGACTGTGATATGTATGCAGCCTCGTTACCGATGTCACCGGAATAAGGGGAGGAAACTCTCCCGAGATGATGCAGATATAAGAGATGGGCCACAGTCTGGTACGTGCTGCCTATGTCCCAGTCCAAGTTAGAGGAACCGGACCTGGGGCGAAAACATTGTAAGAGAAGTTACAAGTGAAAGACCAGGCCTATGTCCCCAGACTGAGAGGGGGAGGGATGTAGTGATTGGGACCGAGTGGGCCTCGTTGACTATGAGGTTTTTGAAGTTCTTATTAGCCTCGGCCAATCAGGAAAGCCTTGGCTAACCAACATAACCAGGGGGTTAGAATCTCCTCAGTTCAGGGACTGATTCCGAGTTGGCTGCCCACAACCAGTGTTCTGTGCACTTATAAATAACGGGTAACTTGTGTGATGGGATACCGGCCTCTGTGCAGTTATTTCAGCCCCTATTGAAAAGATTGGAATATCTTGTTACATTCAAGGTGCTTTACAAATGCAAGTTGTTATTACCATCTGTTCTCACTCTCTCCACCCTTTAGCTCTTCACAGGGAGTTGGGATCTTCTGACAGACATTACCTTGTCCTTGCAGATGTGCCACAGGCCCAGAAATCTCCAGATTCTTGTGCTTAAACATAGGCTGGGGCAAACAACTGTGCTACGAAACAGCACTTGCTTAGCAATATCACTGTTCCTTCAACGTTGCTGGGTCAAAATCCTGTAACTCCCTCCCTAACAGCCTAGTGTGTGTAACTAGACCAAATGGTCTGCAGCAGTTCAAGAAGGTAACTCACCACCACCTTCTCAAGGGCAACTAGGGACGGGCAGTAAACACTGGTCCACAACCAGTAATCACTGGTCCGTTCATCTCCCTTTCTGTCCACATGGTCCCTTTTCCTTTATTTTTTTCCCTTTATATCAACCAGTTCACTTATGTTATAACGAAAAAAATATGTAACCAGGGGATTAGAATCTCCTCAGTTGAGGACTAACTCTGAGCTGGTTGGTCACCACCAGTGTACTGTGCACCAGTAAGTAAAGGGTGAGCCAGTGGGAGCCCCGCGCCAGTATCTTTTTGGAAAACCCTGCTAAATTAAATGTTGATCAGCTACTTAACTGGGCAGTAGCGGGCATTCCCCAGGGTCAACAGTTCCTGGCAGGTGTTAAGTGTCATCTGCAGTTATCCAGAGCCTGCTGCTGACCCTTCAACCACCTGAGGCCCGGGATCGCTGAGAAACTCTGGGCTAAAGGTGAGTGAGGGCAGGATAGGGTTTGAGGAAGGGGGTATTGAGGAGAAGAGTGGGGGTGGAGGAAGGTCAGCAGCAAAGGCGGGGGGGGGGGGGGGGGGGATTCAGAGCTGGCTGTCAAGAAGACCCCCTTTCCTGATGCTTTTATCCCTCAATCAGACACCGAGCACCATTGAACAAGTATCACCCCCTCTCTGCCCTGCAGAAACCCAACAACAGAGGCTTAAGTGCCCTCTTAAAGGCCTCAATTGGCAGGGGGTGGGAGCACATCCTCAGGCCCTCCTGTGACAGACTTTGTTGGGGCTGAAATGGAAGAGGGTTGGGGTCCCCACCCATTGATTCGACACATTCCCTTCTGCCACCAAACCTGTCACTTGCCACTAAAATCTGCCCTTTAATTCTAACCTATGGCTTTGACATTGTTTCCTTCTGTATTTTAGCACTAATTACAAGTGTTTTCTGTCCTTGTGGTTTTCTGTCCTGTCCTGCAGGATGAGCTTGCGCGCTTCAGTTCCATGCACAAAATAAGAAACAGAGCTCACCCAAGACTTGATTTGTTGCAGACTATTTGACAGCTATATATAATTAAAATAAGCTGGTATAGAATTCTAAGGATCTTGTGAATGCAGGGAGGATTTGGTTTACTCTTTTACTGTCCCACAGAAATTGTGAAGTAAATTAGTACTGAATTCTTCTATTTCTATGCTATTTCTCCGCTCCTTTCGAGCTTCCAACTGAATCCTTTCTTTCTCAACATCTGCACAAAACTTGGCTCTTGGCCACACTTTGTTGTGTTTCAAGGATAGTGTAACTTAACACGAGCCCTTGTACAGCATTTTACAGAGAGCTGGGTGGCGTTTAATGCTATTTACGCTGCTGTTCTTTTGTAACAGTTACTCTCAGGAAATAAGAACACATGGAAAGTATTGCTCCCTTAGTCAAGCGTTAAGTAACATTCTCCAAAGACTAAGGTACTTTGAAGTTATTGGCATACTCTGTTCATTTTTGTTGTACTCTTACCAAAAACATAATTGAATCAAAATGGGCAGTTGTGGAGACTGATACCACAAAATGCAAATTACAGTGAAAAAAAAACTTCTTTTCCCAATGTCTTATCTGTACGGTAACTGCAGCCATCCTGCCTCATTTGGTTAATGGGCTCTATTTTCAGTATTACTTAACACAAGCAGAGTACAGACCCAGAGTGATGACATAGCAGCTTTATAGTTGAGGGGTATCCACCTCTCCACTGTTGTTGTCAGCGCTGTGCCACAGAAGTCTGGCAGGCCTCCTCTTTCTCCAGAGACTAGTATACAGCACTTAATATTTGATTCTTGCCCTCATTTTCTCTGTTGCTCATTCTTTGGAATTAAGAAACTAAAGGCTTCAAGCAAAGGTAGGCGAGTGGCTTTCAGTTTGGCTTAACAATGTATGCAGTGTGAAAATATGTCGAGATAACTTGCTCTTTTTTCCAAAGCTACTTTCAGAAAAGTTTCTTGTGCAGAAAACAAGCCTGGATCATTGCTTTTTTAACCCTTGAAAGATGATTTAGTAATATATACATTCCTATTAGGATCACAATTAAGAGAGTACTGCATGCGTCTGTACATTTTTGTAGGTTAGTGGATAACATTGAATGTGTTAAATCAAGAGTGGAGAACTTCTTCTGATAAAATAGGAATGAAAAACATAATTAACAAAACGTACAAGGACAGGCTTGTGCTCTGTGACCAAGGTACTTAGAGAAACAGATCAAAAACTGAATTGTAGAAAGTGCTCCTTAACTAGTTGCCATTCTTCATAGTCTACAATGAGATAGGCAACACTGCAAGGAAAAGAACTGTAATTGTTGAAAGATGCATTAGGTTTATTGTAGAAATAATCTGACAGCAACATATTATGATTTTAGTGCAGGGGCCAAACACAGCATGTAGACCTCTTGTTTGCACATTCCAGGGGATATCTGTCTCAGATAAGCTCAGTTATTCATTTGAAGCAAGCCAGATTCATGTTTGAAAAAAGAAAACCAGTCAAAGACGGTATTCAACATTCTTCACCTGATACGAAACAGAAATAGTAATGTCAACGCGGGTGACAGTATTATCAGTTTGTAGAGAGCTAGTTATCCGGCACTGAGGAGCTGTCTGGTTGGGTTGTTGTGATCTCTATTTATTGAATTTTACAGGTCGCCCAATGTATAATGTGACCTCAGTCAAGACTGAAACTGAAGTGCTCCCTTGCTAACTGTGACAAAAGTGGGGGCACAGGATGTTCTAGCAGGATCATCCTTCTGAGATTTCAATCTTTGACCATTATGTTCTGGTCAAATTACCAATGGTGTTCTCAGAGGAAACTCATTTTAAAAGCTGGGACCTGAGAGATTGTATCAGTTATTTAGTGCCCTTGGAACTCATTTTTTTCCCCTTCCGTTCAGAGCCACTGTATAGGCTCGAAGGCAGTGAAGGGGTTTCTATCAAAATCCAGGGGTGAGTTTACAATATAAACGTAATTCCTCCTTAAACAGAAATATATGCCAATGATTAATTTAAAGGTTACTGAGCTCTAATGAAACAAAATAAGGACATAGAAGATTTCAAATGAAACTTTTCACTGTGATCTGAGTGGAATATTGCTGCTGCAGACCAATCTGTATGAGTTCACCTCTTTCAAATGCTGTTCCGCTAATTACAACCATTGCTTTTTCCCAATGAATAAAACAGAAGAGTGTTTACATTACCACTAATTATTTCGTTCCACTTTAAGTTGCTGTAAATTGATGTTCTCTTACAGAATTTATCATCATTGGTTTAGACAGAATGACCACACACCAAGTTAACTGAAATCTCCACTGACTGAAAGGGTGAATTTTTATACAGTGATATTTTCTTTGAGTGTCCACTCTGGTATGTAGAGAGGGGTGTAGACGCTGACGCTGGAATACTAAAGCTTATTTTCCTTGTCACCAGATTGTTTTAGAGTTACTTCCAAATAATTTTTCATAGGATCTTTCTGTTGACCCCTGGAACTGTGGTTCCTCCTGTTAACTCATGGCTGGATCTAGATTGTGAGCAGACTACCTGTGCATGACAACAGGCCATTCTACCCATCCTGTCAATACGCATGTCCTTCTGCTTAGGGGCTTCCTATAACTGATCCCATCCTCTTGTGCCCAACCCCACACCTTTGTAATATTCACCCTCTTTTTTTTGGTCAAAAGGGAACATCAAGTTGCAAAGTAATTGCTGGAACCAGTTGTGATAGAGAATTTCATATCCTATCAATGATTATAGTCTCTCCAACACATGTTCCCATTTTGCCACTGCAACTATGGTAGAGTGAGTCTTGCTGCCTCCTGGGGACCTGTTGGAGCTGCTGGAGTCAGGGGGTTATCAGGGTGGTACCATCTTTGGAGCAGTTGGAGGTCATTCATTGGCTTGACCTCGTTCCACCGTTCAATGAGATCATGGCTGAACTGTACCTCATCACCAGATACTTGCCATTTCTCCACATCCTGCAATACCTTTTACCAAAGAAAACAGTTTAATGAATCTCATTTTATATTCCATCCCTCCTAGTCTCTGTGTGCCCTTTAATGGCAACAGATTACCCCCATCTGCTAATTGGCCCCACCCAACCCTGCTTAGGTGGGAAAGGAAACAGTCTGGTAGGAATACATATCAGTCCCTCTCTGGAAAGGTCAGAGGTTAAGCATTTTCTGAATATCCCAGGCATGGGTTTTTCCTTTTGGTACCAACTTCTCCCAAAGGAACATAACACTATAGGGGCAAAGTTGGCATGACCAGAGCGAATTTAGATGCTGCCATATTTGGCAGGCTAGTCTCTCCACTGCCACCTCCCCCCCCCCCCCCCCCCCCCATTTAATCGTGAATAGACTCACTGCTTGCGCTTTATGCAAAATCCCTCAAATTACATCAAACCACAAGAAGACAGGTATAACTACTGCCCATGTTCCCTGCCTGGTCGCCCCCTGTCCCCTCCCTTCTGGGTAGAAACCTGCCAATGCTAATAGTGCCTCCATGCCACCCTCCTAGAAAACACATCAGCACTCCACCAAATGCAATAGGAAACCCAGAGAAAATTTCTTCTCACCTTCGCTTTCAGTTTTCTCAAACCATCAATCATGATGAAGATGATGTCATCATAAACATGGACCAGGAGTACATGATGAGAAACAGAAAACAATTATGATGTGGATAAGAAAGAAGAAAGTGGATGACACTGAAACAAACATTAATAACTGTCAGATAAATCACGGTCTGAATGAAACAGCCAGTCTGTGGTGCTTTGTTGGTATAACATAGATACATTTCAGAACCTCAAAAATGTTATTTTTCCTTACCCGAGCAGGCTTTACACTAAAGTAGAAAAATATCTGATGAGTTATGCAAAAAGTGCTGAAAAGAGAGATATGCTGCCAAGATTCTTTATCATGCTCTCAACAGGACGAGTATAAGAATGCCACATTTTAAAAGATCACAACAATTTTAGTCTACAGGAGAAAGTATGTTGTGATGTTTTAAAATTTCGCATTTTTGTATTTTTCCTGATGAGTGGAAGATTAAAATCTTCAGTAACATGTCTCTTTTTAGTAATATTTACATTATGCAACTTCCATGTTTTATTGTGGAATGTCTCCAGAATTGTGGGAACACTTGAATGTTAAGAAAATACTTTGTTTGCACAGCGTAGAGAAATAGTGTCTTGCTGACAGAATTAAAGTAACTGTAGCAATTAACATGTCCTTCTGTCAGTTGGAACACTTGTCAGTCTACATCAAGCAAAACTGAGTAGCCACTATTGTGGAGACAAAAAAACTGCAGATGCTGGAATCCAAGGTGGAGAAACAGGAGGCTGGAAGATCACAGCAAACCAGGCAACATCTGGAGGAAAGGAGAAGTCAACGTTTTGGGTATTAACCTTCTTTAGAACTGGATGTGGGGGTAGGGGGAGCTGTAGTTAAAGAGTGGGGTGGGGGAATGGGGGGTAGCAGAATGGTGGTGATACATGTACACTGGTAGTGTGTATGACCTGGTTGTTCAATGGGAGGGATGAATCCGGTTGGTGGCTGGAAGGGAGGAGGTGGGGCTGGAAAGGGAGCTGGGGAATGGGTGGAAAGGTTATTTGAAATTGCAGAACTCAATGTTGAGTCTTCCAGGCTGTAGGGTGCCCAGCTGGAAGATAAAGTGTTGTTCTTCAAATTTACATTCTGAATCACTGCAACACTGAAGGAGGCCGAGGATGGACATGTCGGAGGGGGATGGGCAGTTGTGGGGGGAGGGTTGTAGTTAAAACAGGCAGTGATCGGGAGGTTAGGTTGGCCGTTTCGGGCCAGGTGAAGATGCTCGGTGGAACAGTCACGTAGTGTACGTTTGGTCTCAGTGACGTAGACAAGACCACATCAAGAACACCAGATGCAATAGACTAGGTTGGTGCAGATGCAGGTGAAGCTCTGTCTCACCTGAAAGGGCTGTTTAGGGCCCTGGATGGAGGTGAGGGAGGTGGTATCTGGGCAGGTGTTGCATCTTTTACTGTTACAGAGGAAGGTACTGGGTGGATTGGAGTGGTTGGTGAGCAGTGTGGCGCGAACTAAGAATTGGCGATGGGAATGGTGCTTCAACAATCCTTAGTTCGCGCCACACTGCCCACCAACCACTCCAACCCACCCAGTACCTTCCCCTGTAATAGCAAAAGATGCAACACCTGCCCACACGCCACCTCCCTCACCTCCATCCAGGGCCCTAAACAGCCCTTCCAGGTGAGACAGAGCTTCACCTGCATCCCCACCAACACATTCTATTGCGTCTGGTGCTCCCGATATGGTCTTCTTTACATCACTGAGACCTAATGCAGACTAGGTGACCGTTTCGCCGAGCATCTTCACCTGACCCATTACGTCCAGCCTAACCTCTGGGCCACTGCCCATTTTAACTACCGCAAACCACCACCCCACCACCAACTCCCCCTCCGACATGTCCGTCCTCAGCCTCCTCCAGTGTCGCAGTGACTCGGTACGCAAATTTGAAGAACAACACTTTATCTTCCACCTGGGCAACCAGCCCGGAGGACTCAACATTGAGTTCCCCAATTTCAAATAACCTTCCCAATCGTCCCTTGGCTCCCCTTCCAGCCCCACCTACTCCCTTCCATCCCACCTTCTGACCCTCCCTTCCAGCCACCAACCAGATTCATCCCTCCAATTGACCAACCAGGCCATACCTACTACCAGTGTCCACTTATCACTCACATTCCGCTACCACCTCCCCCACCACCCCCACCCCCGGCTTTATCTGCAGCTCCCCCTACCCCCACATCCAGTCCTGAAGAAGGTTAATACCCAAAACGTCGACTTCTCCTTTCCTCCAAATGCTGCCTGGCTTGCTGTGTTCTTCCAGCCTGTTTGTCAGCCACCATTGTAGCCCCAGTTGAAATAGCAAGTTCCTGTTTATTCCACTCTCAAAAAGGACCATGAAATGTAAGTCAGTGATAGTTCACAGTTTTCTAGAAACCAGAGTTGTTCCATTCACAACAACACTGGATGGTTTCTTGACCTCAATCCAGGCATCGAGAGAAAAGAATACAACTAGGAGTCAACAAGATCCCAACAGCATTAATATCCAGCAATAGCTGGGGAGTGGTGACAGGCAAAAGTTCTGGGTGACATTATATATTCATGAGCCATGCACATAAAAGAATGTCTACACAAAATGAATTTGCTACTTGTAACATAAAAGCAATTTGTGTGTTGCTATTTTGATAGACCATCATTGGATTATATATTTGTTTTGACTCACTTATTGCACTTGTGTTGGCACCCCCAAATTCTACACTCACTCAACCTTATGATGCCCAAAACTTTGTTGCCCATGCCCTAACTCAGCTGAAGTCCCGTTTGCCCATCACCACCTGCTCACCGGCATTGACTCCCAGTTACTAGCAGCTCCTCAATTCTATAATTTTTATTGCTTTTTGCTTTCCAAATCTTTTCATCCCTTCAAATCTATAATACCTGCCAGTCCCGCAGACCTCTGAGATCACCATGTTCTTCCAATTCCAGCGGCTTGAGCTTCTACCTTTGGTGGCTATACCTTTAGCTGCCCAGGCTGTAAGCTCAGAATTCCTGAATCTCTCTGACTCACTGCTTCTCTTAAGATGCACCTTAAAATGCACGTCTTTGCCCAAGGTTTGAGTCATGTGACTTAATATCTCTTTATCTGGTTCACAGTTGAATATGTTTTGACCGCTCCCTAGTATTATTATTCTAGTAATGCAGACAACCGCATTCCAATGAATGTTTTGTAGTTTAGCTCAAGCCGGGTAATATACAGCAGTTACACAGGTACCACAGTATTCAGAATGGTTGAGGTCAGCTATAATATTTCTAAGGTCTCCTTGACTGATATTTTTATATTCCTAATTAACCTGATCAGAGATGTGATTGTACACCTATGGAGCAGTTGGGTCTTGAATCCAGGACTTCTGGCTCAGAGGTGAGGACACTGCCACTGCACTGCAACAGCCACCTCTCCTTGACATTGAACACTCAGAACAAGCGTCAGACTTTCTTGACCCGCCTCGCTGATCATCAGACTACCCTGTGGGTGTGTCCAACCAGGTAGCGGCTAGGTCCTTAACGAAAAAGGGAAAATACTGCAGATGTTCGAAATCCGAAATAAAATCAGCGAGTGCTAGACCAGCAGGTCCCACAGTATCTGTGGAGAGACAGAGACAGAGGGACGAGGGATCTGGTAGGGGAGATGGGGAGGAACTGTTCCCACTCAAGAAAAGATCGGCAAGAAGATAGCACAGGTTTAAATTCAGATTTGCAAAAGAAGCAAAAATGATGTGACAAAGGTCTTTTTCTACACAGGGAATAGTTAGGGTCTGGATGTACAGCCTCAGGATAGGGTAAAAATACATTCAATCAATGTATGCAATAGGGAGTTAGACTGTAACTTGTGGCATGTAGGAGGCTGGGACCCCTCTTGTGTCCTGACATCAGGATCTTGAAGCCAAAGTAAAATCCATCTCTAATTTTGTAATGGACTTCATCAATTCAATTGGTCAATCTTTCAGGGACAACATTTGACCTCTTGATTAGAAGCCAAGCAAAATTGCGTTGAAAATCCCTGAAAGTCGTTGCTCAATAGAAGTGACGGATATTCAATAAGAAAATGTATTTTGTTTCTTTGAGATACAAGTAATAATTCTGTGCCTTTTCTCTACACACAGCTTCACCATAAATTCCTGAGATGAAGGTCATTCAACTTCCCATATTTGCTTTGCTGGTCAGCAGCATACTCTGTCAGTATGACTACGAGGAGTACTTTGGTTATTACAATCCAGCAGGTTTTGCGGCCCCAACTTATCCAGTTTGCTCTGTTGAGTGCGATTGTCCATTGAACTTCCCCACTGCTATGTATTGTGACCATCGTAACCTTAAAACCATCCCAATGGTACCAGCGGAAATAAAGTACCTTTACCTCCATAACAACCAGCTCACTGGCATTCCAAACAGTGCATTTGAAAATGCCACTGGTCTCCAATGGCTGGTTCTGGATGACAATCAGCTTACCACCAACAACATAGGAAAGAATGCATTCTCGAAGCTAAAAGGCCTGAAAAGGTTGTACATAAACAAGAACAATCTGACAGATGGTGTCCGATCCCTACCAAAGTCATTAGAGGAACTGAGGCTTTCATCGAACAGGATCTCAAAGCTTGGAAACACCTTAAAAGGACTGGAAAACTTGACGATTCTTCAACTCAATGACAACAAATTGAGTGACATTGGCGGATCTTTGAGTGGATTGAAGTCTTTGACATACCTTGATATAAGCACCAACCAATTAACAAAACTTCCCGATGATCCTCCAGAAGCCATAGAGATGTTTTATGTGACAGACAACAAGATCAAGAGCATTCCAAAGGACTACTTTAACAAGATAAAAGCCCTGCAGTACCTACGTATGTCGCACAATGAAATTACAGATGACGGTATCCCTGATAAAATCTTCAACATCACCTCACTCATTGAGTTGGACCTTGCATACAATGATTTGAAGACCATCCCTCTTGTTAATGAAAACCTCGAAAATCTGTACCTACAGGCAAATAAAATTGAAAGTAAGTGTGACTCCATTTCACTCACTATGGCATCAAGTTCAGATGTTAAAAGACCCAAAATAAAATGAGAAATTTGGGACTAAGCTGTTAAGTCAGAAGCAAAGTGTTTATTGCTCAGAAAAAACCTGAAAAACGTGTCATAACAGAACTGTACCATACAAATGAATTCCAATTCAGCTGAATTGAGCCATGAATATTAGAGATGTTTCTCCCTAAGGTTATTTGTATTCTTAAAAGATTATTCTTATAGATTGATGATATAGATTGATGCAAACATCTATTTTGATATCATTACAAACAAAATATCTTCTGAATTCAGGCCAAATTTGATTCCTGCAATATTTCAATGTGGTTATCATAGAATCCCTACAGTGTGGAAACAGGCTCTTCGGCCCAACAAGTCCACACCAACCCTCAGAGCATTCCACCCAGACCCAGCCCTATAACCCACCTAACCTACACATCCCTGAACACTATGGGCAATTTAGCACAGCCAACCCACCTAACCTGCACATCTTTGGACTGTGGGAGGAAACCAGAACACCCAGAGGAAACCCACACAGACAAAGGGAGAATGTGCAAACTCCACACAGACAGTCACCCAAGGGTAGAATCGAACCCGGGTCCCTGGTGCTGTGAGGCAGCAGTGCTAACCACTGAGCCACTGTGGCAATTTATGAAAAAGTTTAATTTCAAAACAGCTGACGATAATTTGCATTTTGTATGATACAGTACCTGGTGGCTTCATGGTAAATGGAAGGAAAATTGGTCATCTCTGCTACATCTGTTTGATTGGAATTATCATGTTAAATTAGCACAAGGCAATAGTTCTAGACATTCAGGTTGTCTATTGGAAACAAGTAACATAATATAAAACAGTGAATTGAAACATGTTCAATTCAACAAAACAACGAAGAGGGAAACACAAGATTAACCTGAGACATTTGCTCTTAATCCATGACTATTCTTACTAATTAATTTGCTGCCACTATTTGCACCAAAAAGAGGCCATTCGACCCAAACAGTCCCTGCTAGTGTTCATACTCCACGTTAGCTTCCTTTTACCATACCTCATCTAAATCTCCTCTATTCCCTTCTCCCTCAAACACTTTTGGAAATTCCTCTTACATGCATCTATACAATTCACTTCAAGCATTCCCCTGTGATAGCAAGCTCCATATTATCGCCACTTTGGGGAAAGAGGCCTTTTATGAATTCACTATTAGATTTCCTAGAGACTGTGTGAGAGGTAGTGGGATCATTGCCCACATGTTAGGGTGGCACAGTGGCATAGTGGTTGGCACTGCTGCCTCACAGTGCCAAGGACTTGGGTTTGATTCTAGCCTTGGGTGATTGTCTGTGTGGAGTTTGCATGTTCTCTCCTTTTCTGCTGGGTGCTGTGGTTTCCTCCCTCAAAGATGTGCAGGTTTGCTAAAAAAAAATTGCCCCATATTAGCCAGGGAAGTGTGGCATAGCCATGTAAATAGCTCATGTAGCGGGGTGATGGTGAGTCTAGGTGGGATGCTCTTCAGAGGGTTGGTGCGGACTCAATGGGCCAAATGGCCTCTTTCTGCACTGTAGGGATTCTATCCTATATTAATGACCTCTTGTCTAATTGTTCCTCCCCATAAGCGGAAACAGTAAGGGGAATTTTATGGAGTCCACAAGTGCAGGAAACCTGATGTGCAAGGTGACCTTATTAGGCAGAATGCAAACTCTCCAATTCCTGATGGCAGATTGAGTTGCAGGGGTTAGGTCAGCTGCAGCATATTGAGTCTTATATTGGCCTGTGGCACTTGCTCACTCGCAATACATTTGCATGCAATGGATATTTATTAGCATAAAACGTTTTTGTAATTTCAAGAAAGAATCAGCAGCGTGTGAAAATCTTGTAGTACCCAGTTCATGTTTGTTTAAAGAATACTTGCACAAATTGGCTCTGTGCAGTCGCTGTGTAATGTTAGTGGTTTTCTGTTCTTAGTCTATGGCACAGGCAAGGGGAGCAGGAGAATGGCAGCTTAAGTTGATACCTTGGAGTCAGTAAGGGTGAGTCAGCGTTGAGGCAGTTGCAGAAGCATGGAGATTGGAAGAGGGTAGAGGGTGTTGTGGAAACAGGTAGTCAATATAAGAAGGTGAGGAGCCTAAAGGGCTGTGTCAGTACAGTCCAGGTGTGGGTCCATCTCAAGATGTTGGCTGACAGAGACCTTCCACTGCATTGAGTTTTACAACATTACAATGATCCCCTCTGAGAATGTCCTTCAAATGTATAGAAGGGTCAGCTGAGCCTACAAGGTTCACTATATCCCACAGAGCAATGAGTACAACACTGGACAATAACTTGAATATTCGATAAAGTGTGAACATAAAAACACATTATTTCCCCTCCAACAAAGGAAATGCCCCTAACATCCCTGTAACCATCACATATGCCACCATAAGACCGTAAGACCATAAAATGTAGGCGCAGAAGCAGACCATTCAACCCATCAAGTTTACTTTACCATTTAATTAAATCATGACTGAGCTGATAATCTTCAACTCCACTTCATTGCATTATCCCCATAATTGTTCAATCCCTTACTGATTCAAAATCTGTCTACCTCAACCTTAAATATACTTAACCATGAAGTAGTCCATCCATTTAGATCTCTGACTGACCTTGTCTCATCAAATGCAGGTAATGTGCACTTGAATAAAGTGAAATCAATGAAATGTAAAAAATTTACAGGTGAAATTTAATTTTGAAGAAAAACCCCCTTTGTGCTCTCAAGTCTGATGTGAAGAGAATTGGTTAGGAAAGTTGTGTCCATGAAGCAGAGTCTCCCTGTCTGATCAGGAGTCTCTTCTGTAGCCCACCTGTAAAGGCAGCACAGTTTCACTTCCCCTGCCACATGATCACACGGGTCTCCTGTGCACATGGTGGTACTTTCAATTGGAACTGTGTGGGAAACGGAGAGCAGAAATGGAGTCTCCTTCATGTTCCATCACTGGGAACAGCACACTGCTAGTGAAATCTGCCCCATTCTCTCCAGATCAAATCTATCAAAACTGTTTATAATGTGAAAACCATCTGTTAGGTCAGATTTCTCTTTCCATGGAGAAAAACCTGTTATTGTGCCAGTTTGGGCTCTGCCATGCTTTTTACTGGCAAGGCATTTTATGAATGAGAAACTTTTGAGAGTGTCAAGAGACATGACCTTTTTTTTTATAATAGCCTTACTAATCTGTGTTGCCAGCTTCTAGTGACCTGTATATCTGTTCTCCCAAATCCCTTTGATTGACAACCCTGGTGAGAATGTTCTTTTCTAAGTAATATATGACCATTTACTTTTCTTTCTCAAATGTTATACAGTACATTGATCTAATTATAAATACACTCACATGTCACTTTTAATATTTTAATTTTGTTAATTTATTGTTTTAAATTGTTGCCATCCTCCCCAATTTAGTTCCTGGTTTGATGTCATCAGCAAATTTAGAAATTTATTGTTTTTTTTTATTCCAGTGTAAAGCCCAGCACTGACCTTTGTGGATGTCCACTTTCCATCTTTAAGACATTCTGAATAGTTTTCCGTTACCTCCCACTAACTAATAATTTCAGGTGGATTGTTTGAAAAGTACCAGTGAAACCACTTTTGTCATATTCTAGACTGAATACATTCCACCTTCTGTTTGCTAACTCTATAAGCAGATTAAGATATCAATTAGATTAGTTCACACTGTGGTATTTTGTTCGCTGTGATTGATGGACAGCCGAGCAAACTTGTCATTATAGAATCATGGAATCCTTATGGTGTGGAAGCAAGTCATTTGGCCCATCTGTTCCACACAGTCTGTCCCAAGAGCATCCCACCCAGATCCCACCCCCCGCCCCAACCACCACCACCATCATATCCCTGCATTTCCCATGACTAATCTACCTAAGCTGCACATCATTGGACTGTGGGAGGAAACCAGAGCACCCAGAGGAAACCTGGGCAGACACAGGGAGAATGTGCAAACTCCACACCGGCAGTCACCTGAAGCTGGAATCAAATCCAAGTCCCTAGCATTGTGAAACATCATTGCTAGCCACTGAGCCTCAGTGCTACTTTAGTCTTCTTAGTTAACTGCTTATAGTTAATATGTAGTTCATTGGGAAGCTAATGACTGTCCTAGATTAAGACCCTCATACTACAAGACAAGCAATATGATCTGAAGAGAATCTATATATCTATGGTCCTCTAAGATAGTCTTGAGGTACAGTAGGTAACATACCTAACTTTCAGCGAGAAGCTCCAGATTCAAATCCCACCCCAGAATTTGAATAACATGGAAGGTACATTCAACACACAGCCAAACAGGTTGATTATCTGCTTGCAAATCTTTCCAATTTGTCAGGCAGCATGTGGCGTATACCCCTTAAGCTACAAAGCCACTGTCATAAACCTGTTCTGGGAAATGGAAGATACAGAAACAAATGTAAATCTATGCTTTGTCTGTTTCGTGCATCTCTCGGTTACTAGAAACCTACCAAGTCTTCTGTAATCTCCTTACCCTCTCAGATCTCTGTATCATCTAATTCTAGCCTCTTGTGCATTCCCAATTAATTGTTCAATCATGTGGAGTCATCTGTTCAGTTACCCAAGTGTCTAAACTTTGAAAATTCCTCCCTAAACTTCAGCACCTCTCCTCCTTTTTAGAGTGCTGCTTAAAAGCCTCTCCCTTTCACCAAGTTTTTGATCATCTCATATTTATATGCATTGCCTTTACAGATTTTTCATCTAAAATGAATAACCTCTGTAATTAAACCTGATCTCCAGTATGATAGGAAATGGTGACATAATAGACTTAGCACCATATTACGCATTATTTTCCAAATGTTAGGATACTCAAAGACATTAAACTCTAAGTCTGAGATGCTCTGTATATTTTTGAAATTCTGCATTCAGCTTTATATTACAAGCAGAGTGTATAATCCTTGGGTCACTCCAATACAGTGAATGCCTCTCATTCTCTGAACCTTCATTTTGCAGAGTTCACCATGGACAGCTTCTGTCGCGTTACTGGCCCAACGGCTTACTCCAGCATCAGACACCTGCGACTGGATGGTAACAATATCTCCCGAGCTAGTATGCCCTACGACATGATCCGATGTCTGCGCCTGGCCTCAGATATAATGTTTGATTTTTGATTTACATCCACTTAATTGGGAAGACATGAGGGCAGATTCTAACTATGTGTAGCTGTCTGTCTTATCCTCCTGCCTCTCCCACCCCCCACCCCCTGCCATCTGCAAGGTTTCCCAGTTTAGAGTTATTCACTTGTTAACACATCATGCCACGCAAACTAACACCTTTAAATCTTATATCTTCACATAATCGTAACTTTTCTACTAGATCTTCAATCAGCTAAAGAAAACCAACAGAATTATTGAAAAGAAAGGAACGTAACAGTAAGTGGAGGTTAAGAGTAAAGCTGCATAAAGCTGTGGGAAGAAGGTATTCTTTCAAAATGGAAAATATTTTGGGATCTTTTCAAGGATACATTTGAATCAACCACCTGTTGTACACTTATTCAGCAATAGTCAAATAAAGCTTGTGGTTAGAAGTTACAAAAGAGAAAAACTCAGCGAGTGCAATGCTAAAATTAAATCAACTCACTTTTCTGTATTATGAGAATCCTCTTTTGCTCTGTTTGTTATAATAGGGATACAAACATTACAAAGGAACTTTTAAAAGATTCAGCACTTTTATAACCAACTATGTTATGTGCAAACTTTCCTTTCAAATTATGCAGTTCAGAAGATTCTCCAAATATTTCTTCACTAAAATATTATTTTCAAAAGTCCTTTAAAAGATTAATAACTTGTACTGACTCAAATAGTATCTGTGCCATCTATAATTACTGTATTATACACTAGGTTTGAAGAAAACACGTAGGATCTATAGGATGTGGGAGAATAGGAGTTTGATGGAGTTTAGCAATTTAAAGCTTGTACAGAAGTTATTATGAAATAAAGGTAAACAGCAAACATTCTTTTAATAACCAAGTGAGTGGCTTTCTTTCAATAACTCTTGCTTAAATTTGCTTGGCATTAAAAGCTGACAGTTCTTGCAACTTTTAGGTTAGTTTTTTTTTCATAGGGGCAATTAAACATATTTAACCACAGCTTGCATCATAAATTGTAAGTCGTGCATGACCCTTACCCAGTTTTCTTTCTATGTAAAATTTGATTTATCGTGCAGAAAATCGAGCATGGTTAATTTAGCAGCAGCCATGGCTGGCTTTAACTTATCTGTATTTTCCACTTTAGCTGACAGCCTTGAGTCTGCAGTAATGTCTTTAGTATGCAACCATTGTTTACACATCCAGATATGCTACTGGGTTTGAGTTTCTCTGGTCTGTCAAATACCAGAGCTATTTGCTTGCAAAGAAATTTATCCAATTGTCAAGCAGGCTATAAGGTTAGAGCATCTTTTAGACTCAGCCTTTGGGGAATGAGTGGACAGCAATCTGACATTGCTATCTTACACCATTATAATGAGACACTTGCTTCAGCTGATCGCACAATGGGAACCCTGATCAACGTGGAAACGTCTGTGGCGAAACACAGCTGGAAGCGGACTTCACAAATCTCCGCTAGGTTGGAGTGGATGTGAAATTATTGAATTCTATAAATCCACAAAAGGGGGTGTTCCAAACAATTGACCTGAAAAATGTATCAATTCCAAATGTAATGAACTGACTTTGTAGTTTTAACTCTCTGTACACGACTTTTTTTTTTCCCTCACATTAACCATTAAAGTATATCTTCACCTATCTTCAACTGTGCTTTAGTTTGTTCAACCAAATTTGTGGACCTCCACCTATTTTTGTTGAAGGATCAAGAGAAATGTTTCTAACAAAGAAAGACATTTCTGGTACATGGGCTGCACATCAGATTTAACACAACAAGCCAAAAGTAACCCCGAAAAAACTGCGCTTGCTGGAAATCAGAAACAAAAACAGAAATTACTAGGAAAACTCAGCAGGTCAGGCAGCTTTGGTGGAGAGAAAGCAGAGTCAATGTTTTGGGTCTGGTGATCCTTATTCAATTCATAATAAGCCCCTTGTTCAATTGTATTTGTTTGTTAGATGCCTTTGTATTTTTGCCCAAGTCCATGCCTCCTTCTTCGTGAACCATTGTTTTCACAACAGAGTGACTTGTGTCATTTCACGGGACTTTAAGAGAAGCCTTAGAGCAGGAAAGAGAATACAGGCTAAGTTTATCAAGGGGTGTCATGACTCCTCCATTGAGGTAGAAGGGGTGTCCAGAACTCACACTTCCTGAGTATAGGTTCTCATTGGCCACCTAGCCTCTGTATCGGCCCTGAAACAGATGACAGACACACCACTGTCCAATTGAACAGGGACGGACACAGAGGTGGGGCAGGGAGGGGAAAGTGGTGAGGCAGGGAGAGGGACGGGGTGGGGTAGGGAGGGTAAGGAGGTGGAGCAGGGAGGGTAAGGGGTGGCGCAGAGAGGGAGAAGGGGGTGAAACAGGGAAAGCAAGTGGGTGGAGCAGGGAGGGTAAGGGGGTAGAGCAGTGAGAGTGAAGGGGTGGAGCAAGGAGCGGGACAGGGTGTGGGGCAGGGAGGGTAATGGGTGGGGCAGGGAGGGTGAAGGGGTGGAACAAGGAAGGGGACAGGTTGTGGGGCAGGGAGGGTAAGGGAGTGGAGAGGGGAGGGCAAGGGGGTGGAGTGGCAAGGGTAATGGGTGGGGCAGGGAGGGGGACAGGGTATGGGGCAGGGAGGGTAAAGGGTTGAACCAAGGAGGGCAAGAGAGTGGGGAATGGAAGGTAATAGAGCAGGGGCTGGATCATAGAGAATGAGGGGAAGGGGTGGAATATGGAGGAGTACGGAACAAAGCAGGGAATGGGCACAGGGGACACAGCTCTTTAGAGAAGTCACATGGTGTTGATTACAGGCGGCCTGGGTATAGGGCAGGACATACTGCTCTGAGAGGTACTGAGAAGAACAGCAAGGGGGCGAGAGACAAAACATCAGTTTCTCACCATCAAGTTCAATTCTTTAGCAAATTCATATTTGGAATGTGGGTGTGTCTGGCGGGGCCAGCATTTATGGCCATCTCTAGGTGCCCCTAACAAGGTGGTGATGAACTGCCTTCTGAAACTGTTGCAGTCCATTCGCTGTAGACTCGCAATGCTGTTAGGGAGGGGATTCCAGCGAGGGAATATATTTCTAAGACGGGATGGTGAGTGGTTAAGAAGGGAACTTGCTGGTGGAGGTGTTCCTACCTGAATATATATATGCTTCACTCATTCAGAGATTGAGTTCTGCTCTCCATTTACTCTCTCTGCTCCATCCCTTCCCCTTTCTGAGAGGAAACAGGTCAATGATCTTGAAACCAGGTGGTGAGAAATTTATCTGCATGCATTTATATCTCATTCAAATCACAACTCACTGGAGTTAAGTTCACCTTCCCTGTTAAGTTCTACCATTTGAGCAGTTCGATGTTTCAAATACCTGGCACCGCATATCAGGCATTTACCTGGAGACTGGCTCTTCCTACTGGATTGCAGGGCAAGTTCTTACGGTTTTGTCCTTGTCACATGATGTGGTTAACAGCTGCCTACATTCTCTTGCATGATCTCATACAGATTGTATTCAAACAGAGGGAGGCAGGATATCTCCCTGAGCCATCTCCGACTGGCACATGCTTCCAGATGAAGGCTATTGAACCGGGAAAGCTGATGGAGAGTGAGTGGTGGTGTGTGAACAGCTGGGAAACATGAAAATGGTGAGTGGGAAGAAGGATAAATCAGGCTATGGTGTGCTCCAGTCAAGCCGGGGTGTTTGGGGTAGCGGGGTGGGTGGAGCTTGTGTTACGTCTCACAGCGAGTAAGCAATATACCTTAATGAAACATGATCTTGATATCATCACCATATCACAGTTTGTGACCTAACGGCTAAAGGTCCGAGTCTCTCGGTCTCCATCTTACTTGGGTCAATTGCAGCATGACATGCTAAAAGAGGCCACTTACAGTTTGTACATGAATTGCTTAGTACTAGCCCAGGCACAGCAGTACCTGTGGCTGTAATGTATGTAGATACTAGGAGCTGTGTTAAATGTCTACTGGATCTTTCAGTACTGTATTACACACGTCTGGTTCTTATGTTATAGGAATTACCATTTAATAGATTTCTGAAAAGGTGTTTAAATATATTGATGAGGATAGTGTTGTTGATGAGGTTCAGTAAGGCCTTTGACAAGGACCGATGTGAAAGGCTGGTCCAAAAGGTAAGGGCACATAGATAAAAAGGCAAGTTGGCAAACTGGATCCAAAATTGGCTTGCAATAGGAAGTAAAGGGTGGAGGGTTATTTATGTGACCAGGCCAAAGGGTCTGATTCTATGCCATAAGACTCTAGGACTCTATAAGTACAAATAGAAATATCCTGCAAAAGCGATAAAGCCCATTCTGCATCTACATCAGATTGTGAGGGTAGGACAGTTCAGGAGTAATACAATCAGTCACACTGTATTGCGGGGATGGAAGGCTACTTCAGTCAGTCCCAGTTTTGTGCTGTGACCATCTAAGGACATGCTACAATCGCTCTGGAGGGTCCACGGCTGAAGACAGTCCACAGGCTACATTCCAGAAATCCAGAAGGTCTGGGCCTCAAGAAAAAAGAACAAAGAACAACACAAGAACACAAGAACGGGCCCTTCAGCCCTCCAAGACTGTGCTGACACATATTGCCCTTCCAAACTAAAACAGCCTTCACTTACAGGATACATATCCCTCTATTACTTTCCTATTCATGTATTTCTCCAGGTTCTTCTTGAAAGCTGCTATTGTGTCTGCTTCCACCACCTCCTCTGGCAACGTGTTCCAGGCACTCACCATGCTTTGTGTGAAAAACTTGCCTCACACATCTCTTTTAAACGTCCCCCTCGCACGTGGAATCTGTGTCCCCTAGTAATTGACCCCTCCACTCTGGGAAAAAGTCTCACACTTTCAACTCCATCCATGCCATTCACAATCTTACAAACTTCTATTGGGTCACCTGTCAGCCTCCTGCATTCCAGTGAAAACAAATCCAGTCTATCCAGCCTTTCCACACAGCTAAAATCCCCCATACCAGGCAACATCCTGGTAAACCTTTTCTGTACCCTCTCCAAAATATCTATATCCTTCCGGTTGTGTCGTGACCAGAACTGCACGCAATATTCCAAGTGTGGCCAAACCATAGTTCTATAAACTTGCAGCATAACGTATCTATCCCTACACTCAATGCCCCTTCCAATGAAGACAAGCATGCCATAAGCTTTTTTTACTGCCTTATATACCTGCGCTGTCACCTTCAGTGATCTGAGGACCTGCACACCCAGATCCTTCTGCATATCAATACTCCTATGGGTCCTGTCATTCACTGTATACATTCTACCTGTACTTGACCTTCCAAAATGCGTCACTTCACATTTGTGCAGATTAAACTCAATCTGCCATTTTTCTGAAATTGCCTCTAACTGATCTATATCCTGCTATATCCTCTGACTATCCTCCTCACTATCCACGAATCTTTGTATTGTCCACAAACTTACTAATTAGACCAGTTATGCTTTCCTCCAAGTCATTTATGTAGAACACGAACATCAGAGGTCCCAGCACTAATCCTTGTGGAACATCACTAGTCACAACCCTCCCTTCCAAAAAGCATCCTTCCACCACTACCCTCTGTCTCCCATGACTAAGCCAGTTCTGTACCCATCTTCCCAGCTCACCCCAATGCCATGTGACTTCACCTTTTGTACCAGTCTGCCATGGGGGACCTTGTCAAAGGCTTTACTGAAGTCCATGTAGACAACATCAACAACTTTTCCCTCATCAATCATCTTCGTCAACTCCTCAAAAACACTCAATCAAGCTAGTGAGGCATGACACCAACCCACACAAAACCGTGCTGTTTATCGCTAATCAGTTCATTTGCTTCTAAATGTGTATAGATCTTGTCCCTGAGACTCTTTTCCAATAATTTCCCTACAACTGATGTGAGAATCACAGGCCTGTAATTTCCAGGATTATCCCTGTTACCCTTTTTAAACAATGGGATGACACTGACTATTCTCCAGTTCTCTGGGACCTCATTTGTGGCCATAGAGGATGCAAAGATGTCAGTACTCCAGCAATTTGTTCTCTTGCCTCCCTCAATATTCTGGGAGTCTAAAGTCAGTCATTGGGCTACATTCCAGAAATCTAGAGGGTCTGGGTCTGCCAGTAGTTTGAATATGAGGAAGCTTTGTTCAGGATGTTAGTCATACTGAGGCCTAACCCATATCTGGGGCTTGGTCTGAGTTTCCTGTGAAGCAGAGAGAATGTCCCTAGGTTAGGGGGACAGTTGGATTTAATAGGATGGGTAGTGGAAGCTCTGGGTCAGGGAGTATACAGAATCTTGGGGAGGGGAAATGTCAAGGAACCTCAGGGTAGAGCTTGTCTCGATCATGGAAGAGGCAAGACTCAGCAGGGGCATTGGTATTTGGATTGTAAGAGCTTCTGAGGGAGGTTTGGGTCTGTAGTGTTTGAGAGAGGCTCTGCAGTAGGACAATTGCGGGGGAGAATGGAGAACCTAGGGGTGACAGGAATTTTGAACCAGTGGGGATAGGGGACGAGAATGGTGGATTTTGTTTGGGGTCAGGGGTGGTTTTGGTACCAAGATGGCCCAACTAACTGAATCTCACCATGTTTCCTTCAAGGGACTAGACCCATTCTCTGTCAAATTTGAAAGGACCACACTAAAAGTGGGAGGCAATATCATT